CCGCCCCGCTCGGACCCCGCGCGGGCCCAAATCTTTAACGCCGATGCGCGGTGGGTTCCCGACATCGCAGAGCGCCCGGACAAAGACCAACGGAATCAGCATCGTATTACCTTTCAAAAAACCCACCGATGGAGTTTTCGAAAAAAATTTGGGCCAGGCTAGCGCCCGGCGCCGTTCCCGGGAAGCCTTTCGGCTATACTCGGCTCAGCGTTCGGGCCTCGGGCCGAGCCGTGGCTCGGCCGCCCGGGAACGGCGCCGGGCGCGCCAGCGAAAGTTATTTGAAAAACTCCGAGTTATTGTAATAACCCATACTTACTGTAAAAAATTAATGTAGTTCCAGAAACTGAACCCTACTCCAGCAACTACTTGATCTAGTAATTTAGCGCTATTCAAGTTTAAAAAGCAACTCCGGCTGTCGGACAAGTGAAACGAGCCCTTTGCCTGTTGTTGTAATACCTCACTTACTTAATTTATTTGCTTAGATACGACTGTCGGACAAATAACTTGTCGGACAAACGGGGCATTCTCGCGATAAATACAAAAAACAATCTATGGAGATAAGACATCAAGTTAACTGCCAAAAATAAGCAAAAATTACAATAATTACAATATATGTAGGTACTGTACTGGGTGTCTTAGTTTAAAAGATATAAATCAACAATATATGATAAGGTATTATTGGAGGTCATTGAGCTGAACTGCACATCATATTCCTTGTTAGATGGGTTAAGACATGGGTCACTTGATGCTAGCTTGCATTAAAATTTGAGTCCCTTCAATCATTGCAATTAATGTAAATGAAAGGCATTTAATCAACTCTACTAACAAACTAAGATGGTTTATTAACCAAAAAAAACTATTTTTCATATTAAGTACTGCTGTTTCACTATATTGGTCCTGAAAATTTGTCAACGAAAGAGATGCAATTGTCAGAAACAGATATCTAGAGATAGATTTGGAGTTTTTCCTGTGCTCAGAGATACATGTATATCATATCCAATTATTCTTGCTTCAGATCAAGTTTTTGCCTTGGAGAGACGTTAAAGCAGCACAAGTTTGGAAAATATTCATTGGAATTGGAATGATCTAGCCTATTGAGCAAAAGCTTATGGCTGTAATCTTACTCTAAATGGTGGATGAAATTACATAAGTAAATATTCAACAGCTCAAGATTATCCAAGCCCAGTGGAGTTAGGTAACTCTAGAATACATATTCTATTTTAATCATAACACAATTAGCTTTCCACATTTTCCAAAATGCTCTTGCGTAACAACCAAGTTAAATTTTATTCAAAGTAGTTTGAAAGTAGTATTTCATAATTTTTCCAAAGGTCACATTATTGAGTCCTAAACTGTAGAAATTTTTATCTCTGCTTTAACATAGTGCTTTGCATGATGCAACATTCTTGAACAAGTGTGTTGTACTATGCGCTGCACGTCATTTTCATTGTAGCTCAATCAGTTTACATGGACTGCTTCATTTAACACCAATTCTTGCAACACTTCCTTAACAAAACTGCACTTAGTGTGCTCAATATGATTCCAGTGGAAAATAAAAGCATTATATTGTAAACCAGGATGAAGAAAGAAAGAAATGGGAAAGAGAGAGAGAGAGCGTTAATTAAAGAGAAAGAGATCTCTGGCAATAAAAATACTAATATGACTTAGATCAAAGGTTTTGTGACAAGTCACAAGTACCATAATTAAATCTAATTCTTCATTCGTTCTCCACCATTAAAAGAAACATGTTGACTAGTAGTGAAATTCAGTCCTCACAGCTCCAGGTACATTATGGCAACCTATCATTCATCTCTTTACATAAACAGAAGACTTTTAAAAGTTTGATAAACATTATTAAGTTGAGTGGATAAACAATAACATCAACAATAGATAATTTTAATTTTCAAAGGACTTGCCTTTGGTTATAACAGTTAAGTAGTGTAGACATTGTATAATAATAGTTAAGTACTATAGCTATCATTTGGTGATACAAAGTAAAACAACACAAAACAAATTCTTTCTGATTTCATTTTGCATGCAAGACTGGTAAAGAAAGCACCATTGGAAATTGCAGCTTAAACCTGTAATACCCTTCTCAAGCTGTGTAGAGTGTGTGTGTATAATTCAGTCTTTAAAAAATACGACATATTAGTCTAGCATTTCTTACAGTGACTAGCACATGAATCAAGAATAATGTACATACAAGGGGGCCTTATTACATAAACATAGGACTGGGGGGAAAATGTCTTAATCTGATAATATGACAATAAAGGCATAAGGATCACAGTATGCAAGGGCAGTGCCTCGAATGTGACTCACACTGATGTGAAAGAAAGAAATAATCCTACTCCTTAGTGATCTACAATACATGCACATACCCAAAGGAATAGAAATTTAATATATCTAGGAGAGATACAAGAATCAAAACTTAAACAGATGACTGTTTAGAAAGCCCTCCTTGTTTGGAGGTAACGTTGGCTTTGTCACCTCCATTTGCTCCACAAGATTCTCTAGTGCGATCACGTCGCCTTAGATGAGCAGAAGGATCACCATAACCAAGTACTGATGGAGTTGAAACAGCAGAGGAAATGCCATGCAATCTACCATCCCTTGCCTCTTCAGCCGCTGTTCTGCTTCGGCGTCTTGAAAGAAACTGTTTCCGTCTTCTAGAAACTCTGGGAATAGTATTAGAAGCTCTTTGAGCTGAACCATTATCTGATGAGGATGAAGAGTAGTCACTTGGGGGACTTCTTGCATGATGGGGTGCTCTTGATCTTGAACGATCAGATCGACTGCTATGACGCTCTTTGGATTTTGAATGAGCCCTGTTCCGTGAAGAACTCTTTGATCTTTCCAGGCTTTTTCTTACAGCCTGTTTTCTTGCAGCAATATCTTCATCATCACTGGATACTGGACTTGCAACATTACCATAATAGGTCTTGGACTTCATGGGGATGCTGCGACTCCTTTGCTTAGCATATGGATCAATCTCAAACCCTTGCTCACTGGAAAATGCAGTTGGGCTTTTAGGAGATGTGTCATATGAAGAGGCCTTCTTTGAACGGCGTTTACGACTCAGTGTTGAGCGATCAATTTCGTCGGTTGGGCTGTGACTAATAGGATATGTAGGAACATTTTTCATCTGGCGTTCAGTAGGAGACAAGATGTTTTGGGATATAAAGGGGTCATCATCATACAAATTTTCATGAAAAGTTTCATAATTGCTGGATCGATGTGACCGCTCTGATTGTGATCGTGTTGTCTTCAAATAAGTTGACGATATGTAAGCAGCCTGTCCACAGTCTTGTTGCTCAGAAGATGAAGCACTGCCATAATCAGTAAGGAATACATCATCTGAACTTGCACGAGCACTCTCTGATACTGATGCTCCCAAAGATGTATCATCTCCTTTGGCCAGATCGGCTAAAGACTGAGCCTGGATTTGTGAATGTAGAGTTGCTTGTGACTGAGAGAGTTGAGATAGTTGTTGAAGTTGAGAGAATGAGGTTGCTTGAGACAATGAGTGAGTAGAGTGCGCAGAATGAAGAGAATGAGTGGAGTGAGCAGAATGAATGGAGTTTGCAGAATGAGCTGAGTGGCCAGAGTGAGCAGAGTGAGCCGAATGCATTGACTGTCCAGAATGGGCTGACTTCCCTGACTGTGAAGACCCTGACTGAAATGTTGATTGCTGTCTGATTGTACTAGTGCTGCTAGACCACTCTGATATTGCCATAGATGTGTCCTCTCCAGTTGACCCTCGAGGAGCAGATGGGTCTCTAGAGCGAACAGTTACTAGGGTTTCGTAAGACATTGATGATGGTGTTAATGGCTCATCAAATACTTCTTCTTCCTGCATTGTAGGATTTTCTGTTTCATCTGAAAGGCTCAGCTCTTCCCTAAATTCATCGGGTGGATCATTAGAGTCAAGGGAAGATGTCACAGTAACCTTACGGGCCTCTTCTGGTTTACCTGCATTGTAAGTCTCAACATTGCATGCAACTGGTAAAGGTGAAGACGATGGTGGGGTAGGCCAAGTATTCTCTTCCGAAGTTGAAGGTAGCAGAGGCGGTGGGATGTGACCTCTCAGTTCTTCTGGTATATTTCCCTCAACAAATATCTTGACTGGGTCCTCTGGTGACGGAAGATCACTTTGACTGCTGTCTTTGGACAACTTTGGTGGAGGAATGACAGATGCAAGAACCTCTGGAGACAAAGCCTCTTCATGATCTTCCCCATTCTCCCCAGGTAAGGCTGGTAGCTCATGAAACTCAATATCTGGGTCACTCTCAATTTCTGGTATCACCTCTTCTGTTACTGGGGACATACCAGGTATTTTGTCAAGACCAGACTCCATAGAGGCATACCGAGATATGCCTGGAGGATCTAAATAATCTCTTTGCTCAATAGTTGGAGTAGCATCCTCTTTCGAGAGAGGTGTTGGGTCAGTTGGTATGTCAGGCAGTTCACCAAATTCATAATCACTTAAACCTTCACTGGCAGAACGAGAGGTGGCAGGGACAACTAATCGAGGAGGAACAAGAGTACAAGATGCATCAGCACCATCTGGAGTCCCCAAGGATTTTGCAGTTACTTCAAAATTACCGTCCTCTGGCATTAACTCACATGTGCCGGATGGTGGATCAGATGACAAACTAGGCTGATGGTCACTAGACATCATGGACTCGTCACCTAGGGATGGTGAGCGAGATGATGGCTTAGTGGAATCTTCTATGTCTTCCAGGTCAGACCTCTCCTGTTCAGATGTTGTGCTGCGTTCACTGATGCGAGATAGAGTTCGAGAGAGAGCATAAACACTTGGATATCCCCCCATAACATCACTAGACATAGTTAGACTAGATCCCATACAGGGATATCCAAATCCACTTGGTATATCTGTCACCTCATCATCCCGTGTGTTAGAAGTGCTTGATGGTTCATCTTCATCCCCAGCATGAGCACTATCATCAGGTGGAAAGAGCCCTTCCTCAAGACTGGAGCTCCCACTGCTTTCTAAAAGGAATGGTCTCCATGTCGATGACTTTTCCCCAACATGACGTACACCTGATGAGGTAGATGCATCTTCAGATGAATGGCGGGATCTGGATAAAGATTCCTCTTTCAGTTTATCAGGAGACCTGTCAGTACTAGCACCTTGAATAAATATTTTCACCTTCTCGTTTGATCCTCTATCTTCTGAAACTTTACAAAAAGCATCTGCATCTGACTTTTCCTGCGAGTTTTGCCTCACAATGTTCAGTCTTGCAGGCTTAGCAATTGTCGGTTTACTTGGTACTGACGGCTTATCATCAGTCATGTAGTCTTTAGCTGGAGTTTCAGGTGGGTTCTCCAGCTCTGGATGTTGTGGCTCTAGCTTTCTTAGCACAATTGGTTTTTTGCCTATTTCAGGTTTCTTACCGATAAATGGCTTTCTCAAGCACAGTGGCTTTTCTGGAATAGCTGGTGGTATGTCATCTTCTTCCTCTTCTAGTTTAACTGGATCTGGTTTGAAAGGCTCTTTCTCAAGGGACACTGACAAAGTTTTCTCATCAACATCATCTGTATTTAAAGTTATTGGGTCAACATAAGTTGGTTCATCGGAAATGTCTTTCCCTTGAGAATCTTGAGACAGCAGGTGGTGAGCAGTATCTCCTGTTTTACTAAGAGATTCTTCAGATAAATCAAACTCTTTGCTCAGGTCTTCGTCATCTTGAGATATGTCATCTTCAAATACGTTATCATCTCCATAATCCTCCTCTTTACATTGTACAGAAAGGTCTTTATCCTCACATCCTATATCTTTGTCAGAATGCACAATGACTGGGAGATCTTGAATTGGTGTCCCACTTGCGTTTTCCAGAGGCTGATGCACTGGGGACTGCATATATGGTGAGGCGTAGTCTGGTGACTGCACATATGGTGAAGCGTAATCAGGTGACTCATAATCATCTACAGCAACAGGTATGGATGGCACATCAAATGGTTGACAGTCAACAAGAGGAAGATCAGGAGATGGTAGGTCAGGTGATGGAAAATCTGGAGAGGGAAGATCTAAAGTTTCCATGTGAGTAGAAAGTAGTTTTGCTCGAGCTGTTGGCACATCCATTTCTAGATCGAGAGGAATAGGCTTGCCTTCAATGGACATTTTTCTCCTAATAAACTCAAATTCAACTGGGCCTGCCTTATTATTTACACCCATTTTACTTGAGCTACTGTCGAAGACATCATCAAGAGAATCTTGTGGGATGGGCTTTCCTTCAATAGACATTTTTCTACGAGCATATTCCAGTGGATCCTCAAGAGACTCTTGTGGAATGGGTTGAACCTGAATAGATTGCCTGCGGTTCCCTGTCAGGGATGTAACACTAGTACTTAAAGGCTGTACAATACATGGTGCTTCATCTACTTGATGAGTGTTCACTTCCTTTTGAGCTGACTCACAATGATCTTCATCTAAATCAGCTAGATTTTCTTCCACAGATGCCCAATCATCATCTTCAGTTGAAGGACCATCGCCTTTCTCCGGTTCTATTGGTGCACTTTCATCTATAGGGCTGAGGTCAGGGAGACATTCTGGGATTTCCAGGTGTTCTATGTCCTGAACTGGACTTCTCTGACTTTCCTGCTCCTCTTCCTTGACATCAACTTCTTCAGCAAAAGGATGCGGTGAATCTGGTCGAAGAGGACTCAGATCAGCAGTCAGCGAAGCAGATACTTGTCCATCAACAACATTATTCAAATCAAAAATGTTTTGGGCTGAAGAATCACATGCCGGTGACAGAGACTGGTCTTCATCAGGAACCTCCATAATAACATCTGGATCCTGAAAATAATCTGTATCTTTTCCAGAAGAAAATGGAGCTAACTTTTTCATTAGACTGGGTTTAGCTGCTGATACACCTTTTGATTCCCCATTGTTGTCGACTGTATCATCCGTGCTTGAGAAGGAGTCTGCAGGAGGCAAACAATGAACAGATACCACTGGAGCATCTAATGATTTTGTACGACGAGCTGATGTAGGAGAAGAATAACCACGGACTGGGGTAAATGCAGAACCCTCTGACAAGCCAAGTCTACCAAACAAAACAGGAGATCTTTCACGTTTTTTAACAATAGGTAGAGGTGGTGCTGCTACCCCTTCCCTTGAAATTCGGCTTTTGACAGGGCTAATCTTTGTTCCCTCTATTGTGGTTGTGCCACTTACAGGAGATACAATGTCAGAAGATGGGGAACTCTCCCCCTTTTTGTCAGGAACCATTGGTTGTTCTAGAACAACTGGCCTTGCCATACTTGACTTCACAACAGTTCTATTATCTGTTTCTTTACTTTTTGAAGCTATGGGCACTGGATTGGCTTTTACAGATGGTGGACTCTTTACAGCACTATTTTTTCCAGTGGTTTTTGAAACGGAATCTCCTTTAACTGAGGTGGAAGGTGTACTTTTTAATGGTGGAGACTTCACTGCTGAGGACTTCTCAGATGCAGGCCTTACAGAGGTTGCCTTTGGCTTTTCAGGGGGGGATGCACATTTTCCTGAGAGAGGCGGTTTGCCTGGAGGAGACTGAGCACTTTTCTCTGCAGCGGGGCGTTTTTGAGGAGGTGACAATTTTCCTGGATGAGTTGCTTTCTCAGGAGGTGAATGTCTACCAGCAGGAGATGGCTTAATTGGAGGAGAGTGCTTTCCAGATACTTGTCGTTTTTCAGTAGGAGATTGTTTATCTTGAGGACACTGACTTTTTTGATGTGGAGGAGATTGAACACCAGGTGGTTTGAAATCTGCTGTTTTAGGTTGGGAAGAAAGAGTGGAAGATTTTCTTTCAGGCAAGCTGGGTGGTGTTTTCTTCTGAGCATTAATCCTTTTTGGTACACTTCCAGGAACCGTTTGGTCGTCTTCTTCCTCTGAAGGCACTTTCTTAACAGGTGCTGGAGGGGATACCTTAGAAGTCATTTTAGAAACCTCTTTTCTAGGAGGAGGGGCAGGTTTAGGTTTAGCTGGTCCAGGTCTGGAAGCATCAGTTTTAACCTCTTTGGTTTTTCCTTTATTTTCTGTTTCTGGTGCTGTACCATTCATAACATGCCTCTTATGAAGAGTGTATGGAATGTCTGACTTTGGCTTGTCCTCTGAATCTTTATCTTTTGTGCAAGAATCAGATTTACTAGAAACACAATCTGTTTTCACTTCTACTTTAGCTTCTGTTTCTGCAGGCAAGTCTATTGACTTCTGATGCATTAGCATGTGCCGTCTCAACCGCCCCAAGTTCTGACCTTTACCAGGATGTGGATCTGACCTGGTACGACCTATTTGAGTTCTTGTCTGGGTGGATTCTTGAAATTCACCATCTGATTCCTTCCTAGGAGAACGTCGACCTTTCATATCTAATGCCTTGTGTTTACTTTCTCCTAAGTCAATACTTGATCGATCCAAAGCTTTTCTATTATTTTCATATTTCTTTATAAGAGCCAGATCTTCATCTTCTTGTTTTTCTGCAGGTTTCAATGAATCTTTGATTTGCTTAAATTTGCGATCACTCTCCTCTCCGGTGCATGGCATTTCAAATCCTGTTGGCAAGTCACTACTGTCAAAGGGAACAAGGGGCAATTGTGGGATGGGACTTTTTACTCCAGGATCGGTCACTTTCATCCTATAGTCTCCCCAGCGATCAAGAACAACACTCCCAACAAGTTTCTTGCCATCCATTCCAGACACAGCAAAGCTGTCTCCCTGCTGTTGTTCTTTAGGTTCAAGTCTCATTGAATCAGGCCTTGTCCTGGGCATTTCATATGCTAAGTCTCCAGTGCTTTTCCGTTTTTGCATAGAAGATAGGGACTCACACCAATCTGGACCTCCTTCAGAACTACCAAACCCAGCCTTCCCTGACTCATATCCTTCTTCCATCTCATCATCCATGATAAATATTTCACCATCACCACCAGAATCTAGGCTGCAAGAACGCGTACCCATATGTTTTTTTGAGTGATCACTTCTATCATCATCATGTTCTTTCTCCAGCAGTTCATATGACCCATGTGAAATATCATCATGAGATAAAGCAAGTTCCTCCTGAGAGCCACAAGGATCACTTGACAGAATAATAATACTTCCTCCATGGCCAGATTCTATCATTGCAGCCTCTTCACTCTCAGTGGACAAACTTGATGTTGTTCCTGGGTAGCTACTGGAATAAACTTTTTGATCAGGAGCAACCATATCACCAGAACTCCGATCCAAAGATGGTGTCTTGCTTCCAGCAACACTGTAACACAATCGTCTGCTGTCATCATATCTTGTCACTGGTGAGTCTGTTTTGTTGCTAATTGTAGACTCTAATGTATAACTGCCTGGGATAGCAGCTGGTAGAGTCTTAGGTGGAGCTGGATTTATACCCTTCTTTTCACTATAAGGGCTGTCATTTTCATCATGATGGAGCTCTTTACAACTTGCACTGCGTTGCCAATTGTAGCGCTGCAGGGGAGGTTGCTGAGTTGTGGAGTAACCAGTACCTGCTGTTTTTACTGCTCCCCTTGGTTGGGTTTGAGACCAACCACGACCACGAGAATCAGCACTCCATGCTGCATCTGAATCAGATCCCTCAATTTCATCTGTATCTGCTGAATCCTTGCTTGCTTGGATGAGGGCAATACCTGGAACAGGCCTGGCATTAGGATGGTAGCGCAAGACATCACCTCTGCTTAACTCATGTGCACTTGTATGATGTACGTCACAAGCTGTTGTTGACGCTGTGCTCTGATCTGTATTGAAAACATCAGTGTTGACTGATGTTGTACTCTTGCTGCTTAACCTGGTGGAAGACATACTTAACCCACGATTCGAAATATCAGTACTATACACAGATGCAATAATAATTGCCTCAATATTCATACTATTGGACCGATTCCGTTCTTTTTGCTGTTTTTGCTGCTGCTGCTGCTGCTGCTGCTGTTGCTGCTGCTGCCTCTGCTTCAGCTGCAATACTACTGGCTGGGCCTGTCGAGCTTTGTGATGCACCAAGGCGCTAGCAGTGGAGGTACGGGAGAACATGGGACAGGGGTTGGTGGCAGTAGTGGTACTGACATTGCGACAATGAGTGGGGCGGATAAGTTTGGGCTGACCTGCACGCTGTTGCTGCTGCTGGTGGAAGGGACTGTCCTCCTCCTCCTCCACAGCCTGTCCGGTGGCAGTGCCGGCCACACTGCCGTCCCTCTGGGCCTGAGCACGGTCCCTGGGGTAGTAGTGTTGCGTCGTAGGGCTGGACGTGAGCGACGCCCCGCACTCCGGGGACGTGTCCATATCCACGTCCATGTTGGCAGTGTGGGTGGGCGTGTTGGTGGACGTAGTGAGGCTGGTAGTTCGGTAGCGGGGCTGGTGCTGCTGAGACTGCGACGTGTGGTACTGTCCTGTCCGGCGATGCTCTCCCTGCTCCGGCCCCGTCTCGTTCATCGAGTTGAGCGTCATGGAGCCGCAGGATAGCGACGCTTGTGTGCCCACTGAAAACCACAAGAAGATATCAGGACTTCCCTCGGCGAGAGGCTGTGGTGTGGAGCCGCTGCTGTAAGCAAAAGGCAGTTAGAAGTAAAGAATGAGGCCAGTATGAGTGAGGGGGGAGTAATGGAAAAATAGCATCCCTGATAAAGCACGTTTGAATAGCTGCTTTTTAATTCCTCCTGAGGAAGAATTGAAATTTTGTTACAAATCATTGGGTTTAAATATAGACTTAAAAGAAACCTTTTTTGTTACCTTACTCTAATTATTTGTTGCTGTCACTGGCTAAATGGTACCATGAAGTATTGAAAATAGAAAACAAACAAAAACCCTTATCAAAACACTGGACTTCCCTTAATTAAAAGTATAATAGACTAATAAGTCCATTGTAAAGTGCTTCAGTGGATAATAAACAAAATTTAGATTGATGTATGAAGTATGTTTTAAAAAATAATTTATACCTCTAATGTGTACATTACTGGGGGATAATATTAAGGAGAGTTACTGGAGAGCAATGTCTCTTTGTTGGAAAATAAATACCCTGCATATACGTTTAGATTATGCAGAATTAAATGTAAGATAATAGCAAAGACCATGCTGAGAACAGAATTAATGCATCAACTATCCTAGTAAGGTCAATGATATATCATGTTGCACGAATTCTGCACTGTCATTGCTAGTCACCAGAGAAGAACAAGGATGACACAAAAGATCTAGCAGCATGCTTCGGGCAGAGCTTACAGCTATTGCCGTGCTCAAGCTTGGAATGTAAATCTTGTTTCTCTTTATTTCTGAATTGCATGTTTATACTATTTATTCAACTTTTAAACAATTTCAATATTTAAAAGAGTGTAATTTTGGTGGAAACAAAACTTACAGGCACATATAAACCAAAACTTACTTTCCAACGAGCACAGAAAAGTTAAGAGAAAGTAAAATAATATGTGATTGTAAAATTAATAAAATGAAGAAACAGGCGCGTGCGGCCAATACCATTCCACCTACCAACTTCGTTATCACCCAGAGGCAACAATGGGTGAGCTGAAATGCTGCCGCCCACGTTCGCCACACTAGAATGAACAGAACTGGAGTGGCGAAACGATTGCGACCTGTCGGGAGAAGAGAAGAGAGAGATTGTAAAAAAGATTGGTACGTTGCATTTATAGACAACGTACATGAAAGTATGGGTTGAGGTTCTCCCATTAAATTTACGCCATAATCTATAGAAATGAATAAGGGATTCAGGACAGAAAGGCATATTAATATGTATTTTCTGTTTCAGGGTTTATGAAAGAAAAGTGGTACACTATTCATTCACAATACAAATCATTTCTGCTAATAGATGGAGTTCTAGGGGTGAGGGTACACAAAGCAAATGGAAAGAACGGAACCTTTTATAAACACAAAGCCTGAAACTGAAGTGACCAAATTCACCTGTCGAAAGCAGGATATGGAAAACTAGTACTTTCATTTGCTTTCATGAGTCTGTCAAACAGACATACTAACAAGAATGTCCTTTGGTAGTCATCACACATTCACACAACAGCCACAACAGATTTTAAAGGTCATCAATTAAAATTGAATAAGCGAATGCAGGAATTCCTCTATAGAGTCTAGAGCCTTGTAAGTACCGACTGGAAAAAGCTTTGAAAGAGCCTGGAGATGAGAAGATGACAATTACAGCCTCCTGCAGCTATACTTGGACTGGATTTAAAACAGGATATAGTGATAACCAGAAAAAAGTTAAGTGCAAAAATATCCATTAAAATTTAATATGTTTCATCAAATGAAAGCATGTGCACCACATCTAATACTTTTATACCGCAAATATAATCTTCCTAGCCACATTTTGAAAGCCATAATATTGATTCAGCTAATACACGGCAATAAGCTAAAAGTGTTTTATTATGTAATGTATCATTTTCAGTTCAGTGAAAATCATTTTGCATTTTAAAGCTGGTGAGCTGTGATAATCATTCAGAAGTAGGCCACGTGATGTTCCTATTATTGTTTCTTTTTTAAACTTGTATTCTACAAAAAAATATCAAAAGAAAGATACAATAAATAATTAGTTAGAATGATAAAGTACCCCTCTCACAGGAATTTTTTAGGTAAATTGTTATTTACGTAACAGTTAAAATTCATAATTTGTTTGGCTTTCAAATTTGAAAGTTGTGTTATCAAAGTTTCCAAAATGAATAATGTAGCCAGGTAAAAATCTTATTTAGAAAAAAATAAGTAATTCAAATATCCTCCTCCTTCTCTTCTCCAAATGTGCTGAAGAGAGAAAACTCTAAAAACGATCAAGATTCTGCAAATGGTACATGTAGGAATGCAACAATTGTCAGCCGCAAAGACAAAGCATGGTGCTAAGGATATTGTAGGTATCTTGGCATTTCAAGTGGCTAGAAAAGCTTTGCAGAAGCCTGCAGTTGATTATTTTATCTAGTTATGAAGAATTCCTACAGGGAGGAACAATCAAAGACATATAAATTCATATAAAATTAGTGGGTCTGCCACTTTAGATTAAGTTTGTAATCAAATTAACATTAGCAAATATCATGGGAGAATGTGGCACAGAAATGTAATCCATTCACAAGCTAAGTAAAGCAACAAAGTATCAGCTCAGTGTTCTAACGATTTAACAAAAAAAAAAAAAAAAAAAAACTTGCTTAGGGGATTAAACACCATAATATTACAAGACACAAGACAAGACACAAAAATGCAAATACTAAAAAGAGCATATGGAAGGAAGAAAAAAATGGGAAGAAAGGGGGATCAAAAGTGAAGACAAAAAAAAATCCTTAAGTATTACCAATAAACACCTAAGTTTTCCTTGTACCTATATTGTGAGCCATGCTTCACTTCCAAGACTTTATTGCAAACTAATTCAGGGTTCCCCACTGTCAACTTTTAATACAATCCTAACAAAATCCATGCAAATAGAATTTGTTTGACATTAAATGTAATTTGTGACAGCAAAACTCACATAAAGAAAAGAAGACACTGTTTCATTCGGATGATATCCATGTACTATGCAAGTGGGTGTAAAAAATTTTGCAGGGGAAATTTGAAAGAATGGCAATTGGACATGCAGTAGGAAGGTGAACTACAAAGATACTAAGATAGTAGAAGATTACACATCTATAGTTTCAACTCATAAAACTGTAAGAGCTATGAGACAAAATTAAAGTCTCGCACATTTCCTGACAACAAATGGATTGTAATTTTACATGCAGAAAGAACTTACATTGAAGTTCCCAAACTACCTAAGAACCCAGAACGACACTGTGTCTTATGTTTAACATCCCACTTCGGAAGTGCAAGATAAAGTCCTGCAGAATAAATTACACCTGGAACCTCACTACTAATGCCAAGAGAAGCTTACTGCAAGCAGTTATCATGCCAATAAAATCTTACCACGCATCGGCAGGAGTTGAAGCTGCCCCTTCATCCCTGATTGTATCCAAAAGCAAATGACCGTTATTGTACAACAAGACTCAATGGAAACGACAACGACAAATGCACTCCATGGTCAAACTGACCTGATGGTGCATGGCAATTCTGTGACTCTATGAACTTAATTGATTTGATTCCCACTTAGAAAAATAGTTGTGCTCTTCATTTAATTTTAAGGTAGATAAATGGAAACTTACCTTTGAAATGTTTGTCGTTTTATGTAGTTTTCCCTAACAAATTCAACCATCTGCTTCTGAGTTTTTCCACTATACCTGATAAGACAAATGTATAAATGAATTAAAGAGACAGGAAAACAGCAACTACATGGATTGAATTGGTACTGACTGATAACTCTCTCTTACCGAAATGAGCTTCCACGGCTGAGAACTCTGGTTTTCTGACGTGGTACAGTTTTGACTTGGGAGCAACGGAAAAATCCATGGTGCTCAACACATTTTTTCCAGAAATTTTTACATTCATTTCTACCATCGAACAAAAATTCAACAGTATCCTTGTAGTAGCCCTGAATGAGAGGTTATTCGTTAGATTAATATAAAGGTAAAAAATAACAACACATATTATGATAGTATTGTGATTACATGAGTACATACATATCCTTCAGGGAGAAGCTTAACAAGGAATCGTTTCCTTTTAAAACTAATTTTTCTGATTTTGGCCCATGAAAATGTATTAATTTTGGTGTAGTTTTGGAAGACTACTATTCCCATATGAGCTACAGCTAAGTTAAGAGGCACTCCTTCATGATCCTACAACAAAAAATACAATGTATAGTACTTTGAATATTAATTGAGCAATTAATTTGCACTTTTCATTTAGAAATTATAGTCATACTTTGGCAGGATGCATTTTCATCCCAAAAAGTTCACATCTTCTTGCAGTTTCAAGAAGATTTAAATCTGCTTCTGCTGGTGATTGTCCCCTGCAAAAGAAAAACAAGACACAATTTTTTTTAGAGGAAGGTAAAATCTGGTTATTGAAGATGAATATATATTAAGAAAAACATACACAAGTTTTCGATGATTTTCCATAATTCTTCTTTCAAGTTCTGCATCTTGATGAGGAACAAATTTATATGAAGACAAGTAAGTGTGATCTGGGTAGTCTTCTTGTACAAAGTCACCACATTCAGCTGGAGCCATAAGGAAAAGTCATTAGGAGAGATGTAGATAATTTGAGAATCTTACCATTAGGCACTGTTGGCATAATTTTGTACAGACCTTGTACTATGTAAGATGCCAACACTGCTGCAGTGTTGTCATTACATTGAATATCTCCTCTTGCAAGATCACGCTTTATTTGGAGACAAAAAAGATACCGGGTGAATTCTTCCTCAAGCTGAGCTGGATCTGGAGTATAGAATTTGACACAAAACCGCATGTATGGGTCCACAAGGGAAAGACCCACTTGTCGGGTCATTGCTTTCTCTAAGTCTAACCAATACTGCAACAAAAACAAAATATTAGTTTTCTTCCAAAACCTGGAAACAGGATCATTTTGAATGATAAAAATACCTTGCACCCATTCATATCTTCATATTCTAGACCAAAATAATCTGCTTCGAGCAGATGAAGTTGGTTGCAAACTTGTTCAAATAGAACACGACCCAGGGCCTTGGACTGAAATTGAAAAGAGTAAGAATACTTTAAAAACATGAAACAGACAATAAATAACAGCAACCCAGAAGGAAATTGGTACTTCAAAATATCTTAGTCTGACCACATCTGATCAAAATTGTGGCTTACTCTACATTCTGGTCAAAATTAAATAAATCAACACAAAATTGTCTATTTTAAAAATTTGATTTCTCACAGGAATTAGCAACCCACTTCAATATTTTAATTTAGTTTCATTGTATTCAGCTTTTCACCTCCACATCTCCACAGGCAACTTTGACTTTCAAGACTAATTGAATTGTACAATGTGCAACCCTGAGATTCAACTTTGATGGTGGGATAAGGATAGAGGCGAGGTAGTGATACCTCCTCCCTACAGCCCTTGCTGCTAGCCCCCCCCCCCCCCCCCCCCACCCCCCCCCCCCCATCTCCTTCCAACCCCTAATGCTATGCCATCCCCTTACAAACACGGGCACAACGGAAAATTGCGGTTTGCGAGGGGCAGGAGTCTGGGGAAGAAAGACAGGAGGAGGGAGGAAAGAGAAAAACGGAACAGGAGAAGGTACGACAGAGGTGGAGATGGAGAGGCGGCAGCAAAAAGGGGCGGGGTAGGGGAGAAGAGAGAAAGGTGAAGAGTACAGGAATTGGGCGAATAGAGGAGAAAGGGTAGACGGGAGAGAGGGAAAAGGGGGGGGGGCAGAATGAAGAGAGGGAAAGAGAAAGGGAGAGATGGTATAGCGGAGGCGGGACGGCTGCTGGAGCTGGAGGGCTGGGTGGTCGGATCCCGGTATCGATCCCTGGTGTGCGGCGGGAGAGACGGCGCGCGGGCGGGGCGGGCGCGGCGGGCGGGGAAAGGGGTGCTAGTAGCTATGTGTGCTGGAAAAAGGGAGGGAAACGGTCCAGCGGCTCCAGGGCGCAGAGTTGCGGAATGTGCACAGGGGGCCAGTCGCGGAGTCGACCCGACAGCCTGGCGAGGTTTGGAGATGGCCGATCCTTTTAAAAATAGAGGCGGCCCCGCCATGCTGTGCCGCCCCCGCCGCCCCCGCCGCCCAGGCTGCCGCCCCCAGGGCCCAGGGCCACGCCGGGGGCGGCACCGAGGCGGCACACACCAACCGGGGCATCGACGGCTACCGGAGGGGACGTGATAGGGGCTAAAGAGAAGCAACAATTTGCCGTTGTGGGATGAGGGGCTGGGGCTCTGCGACACACACACAGCCCTGACGAGACCGCGCCGACTGTTCCAGGCGCGGTCCTGCAACGCGTCTGAACGCCATTCGGTGTCCGTTATCGTCCTCCTGGAGCATGGCACAGGCCTCGGACCCCGGCGCGCACGTGTTGAGCGTCACCCCGCCTTGTGCAGCCCCGCCCCA